AGGTTTGAATATGATTTTGTATATTATTTTCCTTAATATAGCATAATTATTGAAGTAATTTCTGTGTTTAAAATTCAATTAAAATTTAAAAATCACATTAAAAATTTGGTAAAAATTTGGTTAAAATTAAAAGACTTCTCTCTGGAAAATTCTTCCTTCTCCACTTTGAACACTATCAAGATTTTCCACCCACATGTAATCTGTTTGGGCAAATGTAATTAGCTGTGAATGATTCAGTACAGGAAAAATAAGTATTGATGATGGATCATATTTGTATTTAGCCTACCAAGCAAAAATTTAAGTATTAAACTTGAACTTTTTAAAAGGATGCGCTGAATATTATACAATATAAAAATTGTAAAGTTCTAGAACAATGACTCTCTGAAAGGGGGCGATTTTCTCTCTAGGGCACATTTAGCCAAGTCTAGAGTACATTTTGGGTTTTACACTTGGATGGTAGGGGAAACGGAGTGGCAGTTATTTCCTAGAGGACAGCGAAGCTGTTAAATCTCCTACAGTGCACTGGTCAGCCTGCACAATAAAGATTTATCTGATCAATAGCAGCACCAAGGTTGAAAAACCCTAACCAAGAGAAAGGTACCCAAGAGGCAAAGTGCCCTTTTCCTTATAAAAATATTTCTCTCCTAACAATGAAGATAATGATGGGTAACATTTGCTTTTGGAAAGGAGTACCCTATCAGTAATGAGACAGACTCTCTTGCCACAGTCTGGCTGGGCACAAAATAACCGAGCCACCACACCGCCTTGTAGATTCAAACAGCAAGTCTTTATTCCCGAGTCTCACCGACACTCTACACGCACGTTCTGGGAAAAAATCCACTGCCTCTACCGGGCTCCCGCGCACCAATTCTCTCTGAATCCCGCAAGAACTCAATGGGAACTCAAGGAGCAGGTGCCTGAGGCAGCAGGATACGCCCTATTCCCAGCAGGATCCACCCTAAACCGGATCCACCCTAATCCAGCAGGATCTACACTAAACCTAGAGCCACCCTAATCCCTGAGCAGGGTCACCTTTCAATTAAAAATGCCATGTCATTCCTACTTGGCTATGGCTCTCAGCATCTCCCCCCTTCTGATTAATTAAACAACAAGCATGTGGCTTAGGGACCGTGCCTGTTAGGTTGTCCAATACAACATATGGTCCTTACCCGTCATCAGATGAGCTGACCTCTAGGCGTCAGCCTCCTGTCTTAGGTTGGTACCACTGCAATTGGATCATACCTGTCACTGACTACCCGTCCAGCATACAGCCATACTTGTGGATAGGCCTATGCACCAGTGGGGGGGTGAGGTTCTTTGCCTCACCTCTGTTGGCCCCCAAATTTTAGACCATCACTAGCAAAAGGGAGGAAGATACAGAAATGCCACGACACCAAGCCAATTGACGGCTCTTTTGGAAAAATTATATCACTGGTGACACCATTCAGCAAAGATAGGCCAGCACTACCACAATTCACTGCACCAACAGATAGTTCACAATGCATACAAGTGATACATAGTCCAGGCAAGTTCTACAAGCAGTTCAAAGCGGAGGAATCTATCAATATGTCCATTTCCTCCCAAAGTAAATCAACTCCTTGATTGAGCATTACTTGTTGAGTTATTATTCATTGATGCATCAGTTTATACAGTTTACTGTGATAGCTATCAAAGAAGCTGTAGTTTGGTTTGTCATTCCTACTCGGCTATGGCTCTCAGCACTCTCTCAAATGTGGACCTTCATACCCTACAGGAAAATCACTTCCTGTGCTTATAAAAAAAAAAAAAAAAAAAAAGACTAACTTTCAGAGTCAGTTTGAGATGATAAGTGGAGATCTTCATTTTTCATACGTACTCCAGATGAATTTTGTGCACTAATGGCTTGAAAAGCCACTAGACTGGAAAAAGTCAAATCTGAAGAGAAAGAACCCATTTCAGTTTATTTTAATTGAATAAAGAAAAAGAATGGAGGCCTGTAATAACCCTGTAAAAATAGAGAGGATGGTACAACTTGATACATATTAAGAAGTAGAATTTTTGGAACATGGTGACATGATTAGCTCTAGGAAAATATGAAAGAGGAAAGTATCAAAGATGACTGTGTTCTGTGATTTGGATGTGGGATGGATGTAAGTGCTATTTTCTTACATCCAAGATAACTCATGTTGGAGTGTGAGGATGTAAGATGCAGTAGAATTAATCCAATATTTAACACAGGGCCTAATATATGGCAGAATTTCAGTAAATACTTACTAAAGGAGAAAAAAAATTCTTCCCAAAGGATTACCAAGACATTTAGATAAACTTGTCTCCTCAAGTGGCTTATGATATGCCTAAGTCAGAATATTATCTCTCCCTATCATCCTGAATGATGCAAGATATCTGGTGTTTGAAAGAGAAGGGAGTGATGGGATTCAGGCTGTGTGTTTTTATTATCTGTCTACTATATGCCAGACACTGTCTCAGAACTGAAAACAGGCCTTATGCAGGACTCCTAGGATTAAAATTCTTAATTTAAGAACCCTTCCCCAAAAAAGTTCCCATACATTGAAACTTGCAACAGATATGTAACTTGATACAGCTATAATGGTTCAATATTTTGACATGTGTTCTCTAGGAATGAGATCGGTCCTGTTTTACTACCAAAAGGAGAGTAAAAATCACTTTTCTGTACTCTGATCATGAAAACTAATGATCATGAGGAGAAAAGAAAATGCTCCAGAATAGAAATGAAGGATCCCAGATAGATATGTCAACTAAAAAAGAAATTTTAAAAAAACAAAGATAAGTTATATAAGGCCCATTTATTGCTAATTCTAGTGCTGAGACAGTGTCTGGTATATAGTAAATCTTCAATAAAAATACACAGGCTGAATCCCATCAGTCCCTTCTCTTTTTCTTTTAAACATCAGATATCTTGAATTATTCAGGATGATTGGGAAGGATAATATCTTGATTTGTCCTTTTCCCAGGCCATATCATGAACATGAGGCATAAGAAAGTATCCTTTGCTCTCTGCCTTGGTAGTTAAGGTGTAAAAGGAAGGCTATGCTGTTCTAAACACAGTCCTCATCCTAGTATTTCATGTACTCCATTACTAAGTGTGAAATTATTTCAATTTTAGAAATAATTAATTTCACTTTTTAACAAATTATATTAAGTGTTAACAATTCCTAAATGTTGCAAAATTGTAATGTAGGGAATTGGACTACAGAGAGTTTTGTATAGGAGTTTCTGAGGAATCAACCCATATATTCAGATTGGAAAAAAGAAATAAAAGAATGAATTCTCTTAGACATTTTTCAGAACCATTTGAATTGATTAGAATCATGGCCCCAACTGCTCTACCACGTCATGGTGATGAGGGCTAGGATTTTGTTTTCTTTTCCTATTCAAGCCCTCAATGTATTCTCCTATGGATTTTGTTGAGTTTAAGAAGTATTTGGACTATAGACAGAAGAGGCAAATTCTTTTATTTTGGGACATATTTAACCATTCTTTCTTAACAAAGAAATAGACTCATTAAAACAAGAAGAAGAAGAAGAAAGAAAGCATAAAGAAGTAGTCTCATTAAAGATATCTTATTTTCTCTCTAAAACTATAAATTCTGTGTTGCAAAACTATGTCTTGGAGAAAAATATAATAACAGTATATTTTTGGTTTTCTACCTGCATTTCCCTGCCACCCATGACCATTTATGCCGATTACCATATTAAAGGATTAGGCTACCTAAACATTTGATATATAAAGGAATAGGTAAGAGGAAGTCACATTTGGTGACAATACTTTACTTGATTCTTATGAGTGATTGAATTATAAGTCATCTATTTCCAAAAGAATGTACATAAAATACATAAGAAATAAGTGTCAAGAAAGGCAGAAACCATTAAGGAGAAATTTTTGAAACCAGTGACTATACTATTAGACAATACCTGAGTACATGATATAGGCAATTGTGTTTCTAAGGGTTTTCCATGAGTTAACTTATTTTCATCCTTACCATGGAACTATTAAGAGAAGTTTTTTGTAAAATCCCCATATTCTTGATGAGGAAACTGAAGCATAGAGAATTTAATAATTTGCCTGAGGCCACATGGCTCATAGGTGTTAGAATTGGGATTTGATTTCTCGGAGTCCTGCTGAAATTTACATGCTAATCCAGGATACTATACTGCCTTCCAAACATGGTGACACAACTTTTCTGAACTTCAAGCCAGGAAGGCAAAATTGTTAAGAAATCAGTGGGTGGATTATAATATGTCAAAAAACATCATTAATTGCTGTTGGCACAATATGGGTTTTACAAAATAATGTTTCTCACATCAGCCATCTAAAAGAGAGGCTTAAATAATAACTTTGCGAATATAGATAATATGATTTGAAATGCAGATTTCCTTAAGTGGATAGCATTGGTGATTTATTAATCCCTGTTTTATTTACTTCAGACCATTTGTATCAGTCTGTAATTATCTTGTTTATGTATTTATTTGTCTTGTGTCACAGGCCTCCCCTGCGAGAATGAAAGCAAGTCTTATGTGTTCTTTCTGTTTATCTTCAGAATTTAGCATGGAATCAGGCATAGCTGGTGCTCAAAATTAGTTTTTGTGTAAATTCATGAATGAACGAATCCCATGAATGTGAAGAATTTTGCCTAAGAACATAGCCCCCAACATCCTCAAAATATAAATTATGGCTATGAAAAATCATTATTCTTAAGTAGTTACTAATATAGGGATCTTAACCAGAGTCGAGAAAGCAGTTTGTTGACTTTTTTTCTGTTTTTTTTTTCTTCTTTTTAAAATATTTTTATAACTTTATTAATTTACTTTTTTATGTGATGCTGAGGATTGAACCCAGTGCCTCACGAATGCTAGGCAAGCGCTCTTCCACTGAGCTACAACCCCAGCCCCTGGCTCCTCTACTAGAGGAAATATTTTAAGTGATGTTGAGTTTTAGAACTTCTAAAACGGTAATCTTTTGTTATTTCTTTTCCTTTTTAGGAACCCCTTTTCAGTGTTCTAAAAGAGAAAAAGAGGAATCATGTCCATGATTGCAGCTTTCTATGACAACAAGTCCATCCTCATCACTGGGGCCACAGGATTCCTGGGCAAAGTGCTCATGGAGAAGCTGTTCCGCACCAGCCCTGGCCTGAAAGTCATCTACATCCTTGTGAGACCCAAGGCTGGCCAAACCCTGCAGCAAAGGGTTTTCCAGATCCTCAACAGTAAGGTATGCCTCAGGGGAAGATCCCTGTGTGTGGGCAATGCCTTAGGGCACAGTGACTCCCTGCGTGTACCCTTCTAGCTCCAAACTGCATGTGGGGTTAGAATATCTGTGCAGGCAGAGACTAGGAGACACTAAGATAGCAACCGACTGTGGTATTTTCCCAAAAGAGGGAAGAGAGTGCTAGATTCCATCCAGGACGGTGAGGATGTTATCTTATTCTGAAAATTACTGATAGTCAAAACACTAAAACTCCTAGAGTGGATGTTCCTGGCTTGAAATCTGTCAGTCACAAGTTCATCTGAACTCTTTACTGATTTTCATCTAAATTTGAGGTGATTTCCCCACTCCCCAAATGTTGGATATTCAATGATGTCCTCTTCTTTTATATATGAAACAAATATGATAATAAGTAGCCAGACAGTAGTACTTTCAATTATCCAAACAATAAATGATTTAGCTCTTATATCTATGAAAACTTAAATTTTCTATTATCTCATATATTCTTCTAAGTCAAAAACATTGGAAATGAAATATTGTGTTCCTATGAATGAGCATATAGGTAACAAACCCTCACTCTCCTCCAAAAAAATGTTATGTATATTAAATTTCAAGGCAGTGTAGGTTTTGGTCTTTAACACATCTGAGTGCAAATTCTGACTTATCAATTTGTTGTAATTACCTGGTAAACTTCAGATTTGCAATGTTTAAAATAGAAATGACAACAATTATCTACCAAGGAATCAAATGAGAAAATGTACATGTCTCTCTGGTTTATAGTATCCTTTGGAATTTACAGAATCACCTGGGTTATGCATAAGGAAGATTTAAAGAATTGTTGACAATTTTTTTTGGTTTGTTTTTCAAATTATCTCCAGTGTATGCAAATACTGACACCTAACCAATATATGTATTTGTATATTGAATAGCACAGCCCAGAAACACTGATGATCAAATTTCTTTGCCGGCACCAGGACAGGATTTCAGCATAAACCATTATCCAGTGAACTGGGAAGTTTTCTCCTTATCTCATGGTCTGAGTCCACTGTGGTGCAAATAGTAATAGCTAACATCTACTGTATACTGTTCCAAGGGTTTTTCATGCCATCCCTCCTTTATCTTTGCAAAAATGCTGCGAATGAATAGCCATTAATATCCTCATTTTATAGGTGGAGATACTAAGGCTTAATGTATTAATTTACCAAAATCCACTCACCTAATATATAAGCAAGTCAGACTTTAAAAGCCCCAGTGTGACTCCATGAGGCCTCCTAACCCACACTGCCTTCATAACTAATGGTTCTTAAGAATAGACCAAAAAGGTGATACGGCATAAAAACAAAACCTAGACTAAACTCCCGATCCCTTTTCACAGCTTTACTCAGATATATATATCTCCCCAGTGGACTTTATTTTCATCACGTAGTGGACATACCCTTCATCAATCCACTCAGTTCTGTTGCCATCTAAGCATTTCTAGAGAAATCTTGTGGCAGACAGTCTTGTGGTCAGCACAAGCTTTTTTTTTGCTGCTCCTTTCAAAGCACTGTATTTGATAACCCAGCAACATTAGTGTAATTCTGGAAACCTTGACTATGCTAGGTACAACATCTTGAAACTGCCTTGTAAATCCTCACACTTGTTTCCACTGTTGCTCTATTTGTTATCAGCTGTTACCTTTTCTAAACAATGATCCTCAAAGTGGGGCCCCAAGACCAGGTGCATCACATAATCTGGGAACTGTCAGTAATCATCAGATAGTGCTGAAGACAATGGGCTTCAAAGTCAGGCTGACCTGGGTTTGAATCTCAGCACTGTCAATTAGCTATGTGACATGGGCATGTAGACATAGTGATTTACCACAAATAATAATGTCTGCATGGAAACAAGAACAGAATCTATCACTTGACAATATTTAAAAAAAAAAAAAGCTATTGGTTATGCAAGCACCACTTTCCTGGCACTATCTGGAATCTGTGTAAAAAGTTTCCATGAAAAGAATTATGTACTTGATTTCATTTCTTGGTGTCCCAACACTGTCCACTACATGAATCATTAAGCTTCAGAATATAAGGATGTTATTGCCAACTGCCTGTAGATAAAGCTCTGTGAAAATAAGGAATTACCTAACAAGTAGTTACTGGCCATCTGTGAAATGCAAGGTATTATTGCCCATATTTACTTTGAAACTGAAAATTTGAAATAAAGACAAGTAAGCTAAGATTATGTTTCTTAAATTACATAGATCTTTTTGTTTGTTTGTTTGTTTGTTTTCTGGTACTTGGGATTGAACCCAGGGATATTTTACCACTGAGCTACATCCCAGCCCTTGTTATTTTTTTTTTTTTTTTTTTTGGGACAGGGTCCCACTGAGCTGCTTAGGGCTTTGCTAAATTGCTGAAACTGGCCTTGAACTTGTGATCTGACTCAGGCTCTCCAGTTGCTGGGATTACAGGCATGCATCATTGCATGCACCCAGCCCAATGATCTGCTTTTTAATGAAGAGGAAAAAAAAATCTCTATATTAATTTTAACCTTCCAGATTAAAAAAATGATGTTAGAATAAAAATAAAACTATTTCCAGATGTTTCCATTTAACTTGCTATCTAGAATTATTTAGAGGACACATTCCTATCTTTGAAATTATTTTTTTCACTTGTTGTGTAGATCTGTGCTATTCAATGTAGTACCTATTAGCCAGTGACTATTTTATTGGCAGAGCAGGTAGAAAATATTTCTATTATTATGGAAAGTTTTATCAGATAGCATTTTTATAGATGATTTAGCATCTTGTAGAGTAAGACTATATTGTCATCCAGATTTGCATGCAGAAATTTATTGAAGTGCTTACCATGTGCCACTAGTTGGTGAGGTAAAAAGAAAATTGAAGACAAAAATTACATAGTCAAGTGAAGTCTTAGAGCAGACATGTAAGAAATATGCTGAGGCCAGATTCTGAAAGACTTGAATAATTGAAATTGGCCTAAAAACCAAAAGTATGGATTATATGATGAAAAGTCCAAGACTAGAGTGGTGAACAACTGTGACTTAACCAGAGCTCTGGCTGCCTCCATCTGTGTCTCCAGCTCTGCCATTTTGTTGTAGCTTGATGCCCTTAGGAATGAGATGGTTGCTGTGGTTTCAGGCTTCACACATACATATATGGCAATCTTTGAATGATAAGAGGTGGCTTTCTCTTGGGTCTCCCAAGATTGATGATGCTTCTTTTCTAGAAAACCTCAGTGACTGTCCCTCACCTCTCATCTGTCAGGGCAGAGTTGCATGTCCATTTCTAGCCAACCCCTGTGACCTGAGGTGTGCCATGGGTTGATATGTTCAGAAACCTCTGAGGTAAGACAATCACTGTTCAGAGATAAGTGTCTCTAGGTCAGTCAGACTTTCCCTGAAGGTGAGATCATCTTCTAAAGCACAGTAGCTACTGAAGAATGGAGAATACCTGCATAATAATGATAATTGAGACTTTCTGAGAGGTGGAAGAGAGATAAATATCCTCAGTAGTGTCAGGAGATAAATATCCCGAGTAGCACATTGTTCCTGAAGCCAGACAGAGTTGGCATCAGCTCTCCACCACTGAGCAATGTGACTTTAGGTAACCAAACCTCAGGTTCCACATTGAAACAATAATAGTCATTATCTTTTGAATTATGGTAAGATGTAAATGAATTAATATTGGAAAGGCACTTAGAATTGTGCCTGGACCCTAGGAAGGACTTAGCTTTCCATATTTTTAATCAAATGTAGGGGAGAATTTTGCTCTGCTTTTATAGCATGGCACTCCAACTAAGGGCCGATTTATTTATTTATTTATGTGGTCCTCTGCCAGTGAGATGATTTATAATAATAATAATAATAATAATAATAATGTACTCAAGTTATGCTGGTGAGGATGGGAAAGATATATGTGAGATCTGTGGTGAGTTCAATTAGTTAAATTAAACTGAAATCATATGGCTCACAAAGATGAGAGTATTTACTGTGCAGCCCTTTATGGAAGTTTGCCAACTCCTGGCATAGGGAATCAGAAAAATGCCTTCTGATGCAGAACAAATAAACATATTAGGTAAAATGTGTTTTTATAAAATAATCTGAATGCACGTCTGAGCTACAGACAAAGGAGATTCGTAGAAGTTCAAAATGAAAAGAAAGTTTCTGGAAGCAGTCAAACAAGCATGTGAATCTGGCCAATATATTTCAAGAGCCAAGTACATGCCAAGCACTTTGCCCTGTGCCAGAGGAAAAGTGGGGACAAAGTGATAAATAAAACAGACTTGGTGATTGACCTCAACGATAGTCCAGTGAAATAGACGTTTTGTAAGAAATAAATATATATGTAAGGATTTTGAAAAGCCTTACAAGAAAAAGAAGAGAGAGAGAGATCAATAACAAGGACATGCTTCAAAATCATGTGTCTAGAAGAAGACTCAGAGGTGGTGTCAACAAAGCTCATAAGAGTTGAGTGTGTTCAATAACATGTAAGAAAGTGATTATAACTATTAGGAGATCTTATTTGGCATGAATTGAGAAGGCTCCCTTTCCCTGTGGTTTAGTAGGGTCCTTAAATAGCCTCCAAATCTATTCTCTGGAAGGAACCCTCTTTTCCATCACTCTTTTGTGGCCAACGGCTTCACCTTTTGGAAGGTCCTTCCTTGTCTCCTATCCACTGACTGTACCTCTGAAGTGGCTGTCGGGTATACTCGTCTCCATGTCTTCACACCTTCACAACTCATTCTGCAACAGTAAGTGTGGGAACCAATGGATGTTTTCAGGTTTAAAGTTATTTGTTTCTTGAGCCTAGGTCTAGAACCAAGTAAAAAGAAATCCCTGATTCAGGCACACAGTATGACAGCTTGTTGCACATGAAAGATATGAGAGAATGGATTAAGGAAGAGATGAAAGGAAGAAGTAGTGTGTGTTAGGTACACAATCATCTAAACACTGGCAAAAAAATGAAATTAATTAAGCTTGTTCATTCAACAAATATTGGT